GCTTATTTATTCAGCTTTCAGATGATGCATAAATCTCAATTTCTAAAAATTGACCCTTATGACTGGTTTTGTGGTCCAGGGTCACATATTAGAATGATTTCTGAAGGATCATGTGACACTGAAGACTGGACTTATAATGCTGAAAATTCAGCATTGACATAACATGAATAAATTACATTTTAAAATATATGAAGACAGAAATAGTTAAACAGTAAATTGTAAAAATACTTCACAGTATTACTGTTTTTACTGTATTTTTGATCAAATATACACACCCTCGGTGAGCATAAGAGACTACTTTTAAAAATGAGCTCAAACTTCTGAAAGGTAGTGTGTAGTATGGAAGTATGTAGATTATTTCTTTGCACTACTCTCAGTCCTGGCTCACTTGATGGAAAAGAGTAGCTTTGACATTTTGATAACTCCTTTTATGTCGTTTGAAGCAGATGATCTGCTGGTTTGATTGAGAAAAAATAAATGTCAACCTTAATTATAAAAGGTGTAAACAATTTTTTTGATGCATGAGAACAGGCTCAAAAATTCCCCCAGTTTGAAATTCACTGTGGAAATGCTTCTGATAACTGTTACATAAATCATCGTCCATCCTGCTCGGCATTGGCCATTAAAATAGTCAATCGCTAAATTGTGAAGGTCTGTGCAATATTTGTTTGTAAATGTTTTGATTGGTTATTTAATAGATTTATTTGGACATCAACATTGATCAAGACTCTGATGAGCCGTCTACATCCATTCTTAAAGGGACAGTTCACCCCAAAATGAAAGTTTTGTTGTCATTTACTCATCCTCATATTGTTCCAAACCTGTATGAATTTCCTCCTCCTGTTGAACAGAAGAATGTTGATAACCAAATAGTTACTGGTAGCCATTGGTTTCCATAGTATGAATCCAATGGATACCAGTAACTAATTTCACATTCTTCGAAAAAAAAAAAAATCTTCTTTTGTGTTCAACAGGTGAAAGAAACTCATAGAGGTTTGGAGGGTGAGTAAATAATGATGACAGAATTTTCATTTTGGGATGAACTCTCCCTTCAATGAAATGTAGGTCATATATACAGTATGTTGTGGCTAGATGTCGAACCCTCAGTGACCTCTGTGATAGGTTAGGGAAGAGTTTACAATCTGTAGCGACTGTGCAACTGTACAGGTCATTTTATTTTATCTTTCAAACTCTGAAATAATGAGTGGAGTACAGTAAACTGAAAGATTATTACAAGATCTTTGATATAGAATGATGCTTATTGTTTTTGTCCTTTAAGCTAATATAAAACATTTGTATGCGCTTTAAGAAGTATTTCAATGCCAATTAACGTAGGCTTTTATACAATATCTAAACTGTGCCACGACTTCAGTGGTTCAGTGCTTGAATATTTGGTGTCGCCCCCTATCCCTCAATGTGTGTCAGTGAACCAGATGTGAAACAGGGTGACTGACACGCATCAGATTCCAATCACTATTTGGAACAACATCACAAACAACTTTAGTAGAGTTTTAAAAGTCACTAATCACATATTTCTGTACACTTTCGTGTATATATTATGATTTATTACTTTATAACAATAAGAAATAACAAAAATAACAAACAACTTGGCCTTATCTTTAACTTTCAAAATAAAGATTAATGTAAAAGATGTCATTTTTTTAAACTCAAACTCTTGATTTAATATACTACTACATGTTCACGACTGTTTTCTTGAAGCTCACAGAAATAGTGTTTAATTGCCATTAATTAGGCTACTGCTGCATTTAATAAACTTTGATTTAATAACTTTTGATTCCCATACCTATTCACATTGTACTGGCCTTTGTACTTGCTTAATATCGTGCATTTCGTCTACCATACGATCAGAAGACATGAATGCTTTCTTTTATTTCCTTTACCCCCTAGAAGATATTCATCCGACTTACCCTGGAACTTTGCACACGTTCCTACCCTTTGGATTGAGTTCTTGACTGAAAACAGGGCACAGGCATAGAAGCAAAAGCAGTAAAACCGCTAAAGTGCCCTTTAGATCCATGGTAGAAGAAACAGCATCTCTCCATGCGCCTCTTCTGCTCAGCATTCCTTTTCTTTACAATCTCTAGAAGTTCAGACGGGTTATTCTGTATCTCCTAAATCGCAAAACCGTCGACTTAAATCGGTTGGAAGTTAATTTATCCGCATAAATCGTTTATCCACTCTCTTTCAGACTCCAAAGGCTGAGGCAGAGTAGAGAAAAGAGGAGGAGAGGGCGCACAGAAGTTATAAAGCCAAGCTGTTATTCCCTCCGTCCAGCCCCAGTTCCTGAGGAGAACACTGGTGGATGTAACTGGTGCATTGCTGGACACTTCTGACACCCTGATATCCCCAGTTTTCCGCTATTATTTCCAAAAATGCAGATTTTCAGAGAGGATATGCTGCTTCAGAATGTGTCAAGAAAAAAAAGTTCTGCGAAACTTTATGCGCGTCCATTTTGAAAAACAAAAGGGACCTTTAAAACGGGTCTTGCTCTCTTTTCAGAAGGGAAATTCCTAATTAGTGATCCTATCACAGGCTCTGGCTCTTGGGAATTCGGTGCGCCTGCTCTCTTCGGCGTGCAGCGGTTTCCTAAATTCTGACCGAAACCACCCGAGCAGCTCCTCATCGAGTGGGTGTGACTATAGTAGGCCTATATGCTTAGGTCTTAACCATGGACCCATCCAGCCCCCCTTACTAACCCCGTCAACATGCCCGCGCACAAACGCATTCACGCTGCCATGTCATTAATGCGCACAAGTTCACCTATGTAATAGACTTTTGTTGTTTTATGTAATATAATAATTACAACCTACCCATAATTATAACCACTAAAAAGAGAAAAATTGGCATTTTAGAAGTAAATAAACAAATACACGTAAATAGATAAATAGACTAGGCCTAGTCTTTGTTACCTGACGTTCCAATATAGGCCTATAAATACTATGGGTTATAGGCCTAATATGGGTTGAAGTCACACAGTACAAATATTTTTACATAGAAGATTTTTGTTTAAAAGCAGCCATGCCAGATGACCTTTTTTTTGTTTGTTTGTTTTTTGACACAGATGGGTTGGTGTTTAACGTGTTTCATATTGTTGTGGACATTTTCACAAATAGCAAAATACGTGCATTTTTGCGTAGCTATCTTGCATTTACATATATCCATTCCCTTTACAAATTCTTCCTCTCATTTATGAGGCATTTTAAATATATTTTTTTGTAAATTATAGTAGCCTACAGATCACGGACCTAAACTTTTGCGGTTTGAATAAGTGAACTAATTTTTTTTATTATTTTGTTTATGAATAACTTTTGGACATCTCCAGATGTTTTGTCAGTTTAGGTAAGTAGTGTATTCTCAGTATTGTAAAAGTGAATTACTTTAACAATGCAACGGCTCCCCCCTCTGTTAACTTCATGGAACGTGCACAACAAACTTTGCACAACACAGCTGCAAGAGCAGAACTAAACGTAAGCAGTCAGAAGAGACATTTGCACATTTGTTTTATGATTGCCCAATATCCAAGCAATTTTGGTCTGACCTTGGCTCCTATATATTCGATTCGGCCAATGTTACTTATTCTTTCAGTCTAAAAGACATTATTTTTTATTATATCGATGATAAAAATAGACCCCTAGAGTATATTGTTAACTTCTTTATTTTATATGGCAAATTCTTTATTCATAAACAAAAGTTTGCAAATAAGATTCCATCCTATCCCCATTTTAAAACTGAATTAATATCACCTCTTAAATCTCTTAGTTATATAAATAACAAACAATCCCAAAGATTTATAAAATATTATGAAGAAATGTTTAAAGAAAATACATGTATTTAAAAGCTTTCCCTGTATATTAATGTTTGTATGTTATTGTTTCAATCGTGGTAATGTATGCATTATTGTGTCTCCTTGTCTTGTCATCTTTTGTTTTTCATTGTTTTTTTTGTTTTTTTTAATAATATTTTTGTTTTATTATATGTATTTGTATGTAATTCCTTGACAATGTTCTTATGTTATTGAGCATTAATAAAAAAATAAAAATAAAAAATAAAGAGCAGAACTAAACGACAAGAGAGTAACAGCAAGAATTTTAAATAAAATCCTCGGTGAATTGTTTTTTTTTTCCTGCATTATCTGAAGCTACATATATTGCATGTATAACCTGCAAGTTTAACTAAACTAATTTGTAGCCTACAATTATGTAGCCCACTTCTCGGAATTATAAAACTCTAATGTTTCTGTTACGGAACGTTTATACAACAGCTTCCCTTTTATGGCATCACATGCGCGTATTACGTTGATAAACAGAAACGTCATGGGATTTGGACCAATCATTCTGCCCAGATTTGAATATGGGCGGGGCCGAACAGGTAGCGTTAAATAATGTGCTCAAGGGCAGGGTTGTTTACAAAATCAGCAGGAGGTCGATTTGTATTTATGTACATTGTTTGTACAAAAGTCTGAACTGATGTCTCTCTGCAAAACTCTACCTGCCTTTGTGCTCGCGACTCTTGACAGCAACATTAGGAGTTTGATGATCTCCACTCGTGTGCAAGCGTTACATCCGACCAAAACAATCTCACAAGAGCAGCCTGTTGACAGCAGAGAGCATGTATAATTTAGTAACAATATCTCCATAAACTCTGAACAGACCAAAGAAGCCTACAAGAGCAAAGACACTCTTGAATTACTTAGAAGCTTGGTGGTTTTCAAACTGTGCTCCTATGACATCCTGGTTGATAAGAATAAAGAGGTATGTGATTTATTCAATTTATTTAGCGTCCAAACTGGACGCTAACCAGTCAGGTTTCAGGAGTGGCCATTCAACTGAGACTGCGTTACTGTCTGTTACGGAAGCCTTGCGAATGGCAAAAGCTCATTCCAAATCATCAGTTCTTATTCTGCTGGATCTATCTGCTGCTTTTGACACTGTCAATCACCAGATCCTCCTGTCTGCACTCTCATCACTGGGCATCACAGGGATTCCACTTCGCTGGTTTGAATCCTATCTCA